ATTTACTGCTTGAATATCTTTTGAGCAGTTTTCCATGCTTTGTCATGGGCTTCTAACTTGTTATTCTTCTCTGCATTGCTTCTGCTTATGATTTCCTGGGCTTCAACATATTTCTTGAGGCCTGTCATATTTGGTGGTTTATTGTCTAATTTGTTGAGATAGATGTAGTGTTTAACCAAGAGTAGCGTCAGGTTTTCTCCCAAACTGGTGTTCTCTCCTAGGAAGTATTTTGCTCTCGTCAGGTTTTGTATTTGACACAGTTGGGTGACCATCTCTATGAACGGTTTGACAGCTATACATTCGTATAGTCCATGTTCGATGGTATCCTGTTTGTCTTCTTTACACAATTCACATTGTGGGCTTGTTTTGATTTTCATATTGTGTAGCATTTTGTTGAAAAATATTGTTCGAAGTAATATTCTATATTGGAAATATCTCAGTTTTGTTTCCTTTGTTGTTATGTATATTCTACAGTAGTTGCTTTTCCAGTTTATATTTGTGTTGTCTATCGCCTTTTCCCATAGTTGTTGTTGTTTTATTGGTTCTTCAGTGTGGCTTTTTATTAGTATGTTATATGTATCCTTATTCGTCATTGTTTGTAGTTCCTTTATAGAAATGGATTTTTCTTTCACATCAGTTTCTGTCTCTGGCCTTCTCGGTGTTTTTATTTGGTTTCTCCATTCAGCTGGTATGCTGTGTATGATGTGGTACCATTGAATGAATGTTGTGTTTATTAAATCAAATTTCCTTTTCAGTGCTTGGTACGGGATTAATTGATTGTCCTCATACAACTGTTTGATATATATTATCCCTTTGGATTTCCACCCCTCTATATATAAGGTCTCTCTTCTATTTTGTACATGTCTATTGTTCCAAATTATCTGGTTTTCGGGTGTATGGATGTCCTTGTACTCCTTATAATGTATTGCACACCATGCATTGTATACGTCCCTTGCTGCTGTAAGTTTGATGTTGCTGGCAATCATCGGATTGATTTCTCTGAGGTTGTATTCCCATGCATGTTCTCTGATATCTTCAAACTGCTGTTGCCAGAGTATTTTCCACTTACTTTTTATGTTGTCGTCCGTTAATTTTTTAATCCATTTGAGTTTTAATTTATTAGCAAGTGATGGAATATGCGTCATTTCAAGACCTCCCACACTAGGAGACTCCATGTATCTGTTAATGTCAAAAGCTCAGAAGATTAATTACCCCTTGATCCAGAGCCACTGCTTTGTTTACTAGCCTTATCAGGCATTCTGAGATAAGCATAGCATAGATTTCTCTAATGCTTAGAAGGCTAGCTTAATTAACCCGCATAAAGAATGTCTATTTAAAGTGATTTAAAAACTAGTTTAACTTTGTTTCTGAAAATGATGAACCCTACTATTGGTTTTTCTTGTCCAATAAGTACCACATGGTGAAATCTTAAGAAAATTGATCCAGTAAAACTCCTAGATATTACTCATAAAGAAATGTGAGTCATTTCTCAAATATAACATTTGGATTTTCAGAGAGAAAAATTTCTTGGAATTTTTACTTCTCCACTGATAAAATGTTACAATTAAAACACTTTTGCAACTACTTATTTCGACAAAATTTTACTTGCAATTAGACTTTTCAAATATCTTTCACAATCTATAATTCTTTTCTTTTAGTAACAATTTTGAATTTAGGAAATATGTACCTTAACAAGATCAGTGTAAGTAGATCTTTCCGTTTTGCTATAGTATTTTACCATTAACACGGGGATTTTTCGAGTGAATATATAAAATATATATTATAGGTACTTAATATTTGCTACTACATGTTTATATTTTGATCTCTATGTACTACAGACTTATCTCAATAGCAGGGATCCAACTTTGCAAAAATAAGTACTTGCAAAGTATTGTTTATGAAGTATTTAATATCCATTACCTTCAGATTTATGTGTGTTTTTGTTTTTTAAGTGTCATTTTCTTGTCTTTATACTTGCTACTATAGCTTTATATTTTGATTTTCAAGTGCAATATACTGTCCTTCATAATATGGATCCAATTTTATCAAAAAATATTGTTGCAAAGTATTGTTAATCATGTGTTTCACTGAGAGAAGATTTTAGAAAATACTCTAGAATTACCCGCACAAAAAGTAGATTTTAACTTCATTCTGATTTAGCATAATTTAAGAACAGAAGTTTAAAAACATATCAAGATTGAACCCTGAAATTAACCCAGTCATCTCTTGCTAACAGTCATGTCACAAACTTTTGTATATTCTTGTTAGAATGGACCAAAACCGTTATTTTGAAATTCAAAAGTATTAATATTGTTGGCAGGGCTACACAGCAGCAAGCTTAGTAAACATACACTATTGGCCTACAAGTGTGTGATTAATCATCCCACTTGCTTGACATAAGAAAGTTCAATTTTAGCAGCTTTTACCCTAGTGTGCTCCATAAGGTATTCCCCCTCTTAATGTTTTTCTTGCTATTTTGTCCGGTTTTCCGTCCCATATAAAATCAAATAGTATTCTTTCTAGTTCTTTGGTCATTTCAGCTGTTGGTGCTTTTAACACTGACATTGGATATGTTAACTGTGATAAAAGTAGTGACTTTATAACCACGATTTTACCCATCAGGGATAGATTTCTTTGCTTCCATATTTGTGCTAATCTTAGTATAGTCCTGATTGGTTTGCTATAGTTGATTTCTTCTATGTTTCTTCCATCTATCGGTATTGTTAAGCCTAGGAGGTTAATCTCCTTTTCTTCTAGATTCACTCCAATATTTGTGCATATTCTCTGTGTCTTTTGTTTGTTTATCTGGTTTTCTTTTCCAATGGTTACTACTGTTGTCTTTTCTTTATTGATTTTAAGTCCTGATATCATCTCAAATTTATTAAAAAGATCTAGTGCATTTTCTAAATATGAGGCGTCTTTAAGGAACAAGCAGGTATCATCTGCATATTGCGAGATTCTGAGTTCTTCGTTTTCTGTTAGATTGATACCTTTTATTTTGTCTGTCTTCCGTGTAGCATTGCTAAGAACTTCTGCACATAGGATGAATATGTAGGGACTCAATGGGCAGCCTTGTCGTACACCTCTTTCAAGGTTGAAGTACCTGGATGTGAAGCCATTGTTTATTATAGTGCTGTTTATTCCATTGTAGAAAGTTTCAACCCAGGCTATTAAGTCTGTGCCAAAATTAAAATACTTCAATGTTTTATAGATGAATTTCCACTCCAATGAGTCGAATGCCTTTTGGAAGTCGATAGTTGCCATAATGCCATTCTTTCCTTGTTGAGTCAAGTGTTCCATTACATCTAGTGATAGTCTTATGTTCTCACCTATGTATCTGTTTGATATAAATCCTGTCTGGTCTACGTTGATAAGTTTGTAAAGAACTTTTTTAATGCGTTCTGCTATGGCCTTTGTCATTATTTTGTAGTCGTTGTTAAGTAGGGTTATGGGTCTCCAGTTCTTTATTTTGTTTGGATCTTTACCTTTTTTGGGTATTAGAGTAATTATTCCTCTTTTTTGTTCTATCGTCATGTCTTTGTTATTTTTTGAGTAGTTGAAGCTTGCACACATTGGGTCTATGATGTCATCTACAAATGTTTTATAAAATTCACTGGAGAGTCCATCGCTTCCTGGGGTTTTGTTGTTCTTGAGGTTTGAAATTTGTTTTCTGCATTCATCTGCTGTTATATGCCCTTCACAATTTTGTTTTTCATCTTTGTTTAGTTCCAGGTTTTCTCCTTTTGGGAAAAAGTCTTTATCAAATTTAGTTGTTTCTACAATTCTTGTTTTATATAATTCACTGTAAAACTTTGCTTGTTCTTCACTTATTTGTTTTTGGTCTGTTATTAGGACGCCTTCTTCATCTTCAATGGCTGTCATGGTTTTGTTTATGTAATTGTGTTTTTCAAGATTTAGGAAGTATCTTGTTGGCTTTTCTCCTTCATCTACCCATTGACATTTACTTCTAAAGATAGCGCTTTTAGCCTTCTCTTCTTGCATTAAGTCTATTTCGTTCCTTATTTTTTCAGCTCTGTCTGTTAACTTCTGTCTTTCTGGATCGGCGAGTGATTTATTGTTTTCCTGATGTTCAATCATAATTACTTGGCCAATTTTAATATCTAGTTCTTGTTTTTTCTTCCTCTTTTTCTCTGTTGCGTAGCGTCTTGTCTCCATTTTAATGTTAAATTTGATTAATTCCCATAAACTATTTGGGTTGAGGTTTTCATTGTTCTGCTTTACATTGTTGATTATTACTTTTATGCTTTCTACATATTCTTTGTCTTTGAGTAATGTGTTGTTAAGTTTCCAGATGCCCGGTCCCCTCCTCTGGTTTAATAATTTGAGTTCAAGTTTTACTGGTCTATGGTCAGCAATTTTCCTTTTCACCATCGTTTCACTTAGAATCTCTGTATTCTTTGTTTGTTGGTAGATGTCTCTAGTTACTAGAAAATAGTCTAGTCTACATTTAATTGTGTTGTCGTGATTGTTCCAAGTGTATTTTCTACTATGTGGATGTTTTTGTCGCCATACATCGCATAGGTCGTGTTCCTCTATCATATTTGTAATAAGCGCCCTTGTTTTGATATGTGAAGCTTGTCTTCCACCTTCTTTGTCCTTTGATATATCTAATGGGACATTGAAATCTCCTCCAATAATGATTGCGTTTTCATTTTTGTCTCTTAGTTTTTCTTTAATATTTTGAAATAGATTGCTGTCGTCATGGTTGTGGCCGTAAACATTTACGAGTGTAATGAGTTTGCCTTTTAAGAGGCAGTCCATGATGATGAATCTCCCGTCTTTGTCGATATCACAGTTTATGATTTCAGGGTTAGGAATACATTTTTTGTTTATTAATGTTGCTACTCCAACTGAGTTTGTAGCTGTAGTTGTGAAGTAGGCTTCTCCTCCCCATTGTTGCTTCCAGTTCTTGTCTTGCCCTTTTCCGCAGTGCGTTTCTTGTAAGAATGCGATGTCAAAATTATCTTCTTGTATATATGTAAACATTTTTTTACGTTTGACCTTGTCCTGTAGACCCTTTACATTAACTGATACTATTCTAATTGACATTTATACAGATTTGTTATGTTACCCTTGCATTGGTTTATACATTTAATTATTATTTTAATTGAAATAAATTTTGCTGAAATCTTATATAAAGAATGTTGCTCGTAGAGCGTATTGGGATGATAGTGGAATTCTACCATCTCAATAAGAGGTCGAGATAAAAGCTTTAGGAGTGCGTTGAACTTACATTAAAGAGGCAGGTTTAAATAAATTCTTACTGTTTGATTCTAACTCAAAAGTTGTTGAGAATTTGATTTGCTGTACGCTAAAAAAAATAGTTGTGTAAATTGAATAAAAGTTCAGTTTTAACTAATGTCTGTTTTGATCTGTAAGGGTAAAGAATTATTTTTTGTTCAATCTCTTTGTGATGATTTCTTTGTATATATCGTCCATATTTACTGGATTGCCGTCAATATATACTCTAACCCCTACCCACTTGACCTTCTTTCTTTGTTGTTTGGCCTCTTTTGTATATAATTTGTAGGCTAGGTTTTGAATTGCACGGGCATCTTCAGGTAGGTCTTCTCCAATTCTCACATTGCTTTTTGCTTTCTTGGACCAGACTAGCCTTTTAATCGCATTCGCTTCCTTTTCCGATTCGAATTGTATTAGTACGGGTCTTGGTCTCTGTGATTTTCCTCCTTGTACGCTGGTAGTGGTAGGCCGCCCGATGCGATAGCAATTTTGAACTGTGGTGTGAGCTCCCTCGTTGAGCTGAAGACGTGATTCAACAGCTTCTTTTAGATCGGTGTTCTCTTGATTTTCCGGTAGGTCAAACATTATTAGGTTTCTTTTCTTGTTGATAATATCGAGCTCTATGTCTCTGATAAATAACTCTCTTACGAAACGTAGTTCTTCCGGTTTTTCGAGTTGTGTTTCAATTTTGTCCAGTTTTTTTTCGGAGCTTTCAATTCGGGCCTCGAGCTTTTGGTTGATTTCATCCACTTTTCGGTCAGTTTTTCTCAATTGCTCGAATAATTCGTCGAATTTAGGGTCCAGTGCTGCTAGAATTACATTTGATATTTCCTGATTGTCTGTATTCGTGTTCAAATCCGTTGGGTTTTGTTTTTTGTTTCCGCTTCTTGTTGATGACGCCATCTTGTTTGGATTGTTTATGTTAGCAACCGTATTTTGCTTTTTGTTTTCAGTTTTTTTGTGATTGTCGCGGGCAGTCCTTGTGACAAGCTTTCTAAAAAAGGATCCTGAATTATTTACAGTTCTGCTAGAGTCAGAATTCTGGTTATTTATTGCCGTTTTCCTCATTTATTTGGCATAATACGCACCTCCATCAAACTTCCGTCTCCCTCTACTCTCTCTCCATAGAGATACCTCTAGTACCTCGGTATCTCTAGGTGTTCATATTAGAGAGGTGTTTATATATACAGGTTTTACTATGCAACATTAACCTATTTTTTATCTCTCTAGTTTTTTTACTTCACAAGTCTGGGATTGATACACCCCGATGTGAAAGATTTCCATTCATGTTTTGAGAAAATGTTTGAAGTCTGTTCTAGCAGTGTTTAGCAAAACAGGATTAATCGGTTTCCAAAATAGAAAAATGTGTCCAGTCGGAAAATAAAGCTAAAACAGCATGTTAAATATTTCAATGTATGAGATCATAGAAGTCGGATTTATTTCAGACTATTTTTATCTTAAATGGCGATTTTTTCAACAGTTTGAAAAATTGAATGTTAAAACAACACTTAAGACCTCATCAGATCTTAAATTCACATTGACCTTGACCTTGTGTTGCAGGAAGCATCCATCGATTTAATGCTTTGTTGTTGCGATTATCACACTCCTTGAAATTCCTTTCTAATTATAATCTTCATGAAACTCCAAAGATATGAAGGCTTAATCTTGCAAAAATAGAAGTTTTTTTAAAGTTTTATGTTGTCTTTATTTCATAAAACCATCAAAAATAGAAGTCTGACAACAACAAAAAGTTCCAATACAAATTCCTAATAAATTCCGTTGCAGTTAATACTTGGCTTAATTCTAGATTATCTACAAAATTTTATGGGTTTATTTTATGCAATCCTCAAAGTAACATGGAAAATTAGTACTCTCCAGTGGTTCTAGATTTGAGTAGTGTTGTCGCGATGTGCCATAATCGTATATCGATGCATCGGCAATTTTCAGTAGTAAACATCAATGCACATCGCGATGTACATCGAGAAAAAGTCCGAGAAAAATGCACTGAAATACCGAACGCTAATGCACTAAAATACCGAACAGAACAAATTAATAAGAGTACGCTAGTACACCCGGGAACTTCTAGTAACAGTGAAATGAAAGTAAAGTAAATTGTTTTAGATTAATGGTTCATTTCGACTAACTAAAACAGTTTTAAAGCGGAAGAATATCAGAAAACATCAGAAAATGAAATAAGACATGAGAAAGGTAAGCGATTTGGGTCAAAAAGATAAGAAAGGGTGATTTTTAGCAAATTTTTTTTTAAAAACATCGATGTTTTGTTTCAGACATCGATGCATCGCCAGAATCAGCTTTGGCGATGTTTATCGCGATGTATCGATTAATCGCGACAACACTAGATTTGAGAGCTCAACTTGGTTTTTTGTCACCACCGAAGGGGTGACATTGTTATAGTGGCCAACTTTTTTGTGGATAGTTGCTGGTGTTTGGCATTCGGTGGTTAGCGTTCGGCATCTGGAACAAAAAGCAGGTGGTGACATTTTCAATGTTAATGCCTTGTCTTACTTGCCATAATAATATTATGGGAATTTTCCATGTAAGAACTTTTACTCTTGTACATAGTAAATCATTCAAAATTGTTGAGATGAGATTTAATTGAGATTAAAGATTGTCTGAGCGAACAGGAAATAGAAACATTTGCTTCAGTTTATTTACCTGCTTTTAAATGTCATAATTTTCTCTAGAGTCTGTGTAAAGTATTTGTCAATGATCTCATTTCGTGCCATATGAAGATTTAAAGGGTACAGTCTGACATCATAAAAAAGACTGAAAACCTTTTACATGAACCCTTTTTCATTCTATTTTTATGTCACCGCCAGTAGTGGTGACATATTGTTATTATGAACAGTGTTCGGCAGTCAATGTTATGCATATGGTTTCAGTGGTTGGTGCCTGTAACAAATGGCAGGTGGTGATATTTTGCATGTTAAATGCATTGTTTCAGTCTGTCATAGATCTCCATGTACAAAAACTTGAAATAAGAATGTTTGTTCTTTTGAACACTTTTGGTTGGTTTTACTGTCTAGTTTTATGTTTGCTCCTGGATGCCTCCAAATCGAATATGATAAGGATAAAATTATTATTCTATACTACACAATTTTGGCACACAAACAAAACATTTTTCATTCAAACATTTAACGTTGGTTTGCACCTAATACAATGAAGCAGTTGATTTAATGTCAATTGACAATGCGATCCTGTGATGTGATCTCATTATGTCTCTTGCTTTTGTAAAAAAGCCAATTTTAATTGTATATATTGTAAATAATTGGAAATTGTCACTGGGCCTTTAGGAAGACCAGTTTTTTACTGATAGAGCTACCCAGTATACAAATCAAATCAAAGGAAAGACGATAAATATCAATGAGAATAATGTGACATCTACATCTGAATTAAGTCTAGCTCGATCTATAACAGAAGGTTAGTCATATATTCAATTATGTCTGTCTTTATAGATAAAATTAGTCATCAATCGTATTTGTCTGGGTTGTTTGTTATGAGTAATGATAAAAGACACACAAGGGGCCCTTGTGACACACAATGGGCCCTTGTGGTTGGTCTGCTGCAGAAGCAAAAACTGGCCTGGAAATTGCACACTGCAGTGAGCATTCCCATTTAAAAATTGAGCAGTTTGTTTTAAAACCTAGCAATTGTCTCCATGGTAACAGAACAACTGGGTGCTGCACCTCGTTGAAAATAACATGCCACCTTGTTGAAGAATGTTTTTGCTTACACTCTGACAAAAGGGTAAAAAGTTGACATTTTTTACAAATCGGGTAAAATTAGGATCCTGTTCAGAATAAATCATTGTGCCGTACCTAGAAAAGAAATGAGTCCCATGATATGGGAATGTGCCGGAAAGCTGTAACATTATAAGTATTGCATATTGTATGTGACAGATGAAATATATAAAATATGGGAAATGAATATGATTTTTTAGTGTATGATGTCTGAAAAAGAAAAAATGAATATGTATTTCTGTAAAAAAAGTATACACCACTCCCCTAAGACCTCCTCTGATCTTTCTGTGCAGAACTACAAAAACTTGATTAAAAATTGTATGGTTAGCCCAAGTTAAAGGTGTTCCCAGGGTATTCCCAGAGTAACTGAAAATTGGGAATCATTTTTTACAAGATAAGCTAAACATATTACGAGCCAAGAACCATCAATCAATTATCTGACGAGATCGATAAAAAGTTAATGCATAAGCCCCAGACAGATAACTTAGATTGGACAGAATACCCTAGGGGATATGATATTTGTCTTTTGAAGTAAATACATCAGCGTCATAATTTTTCACAAAAGCGAGACTAAGGAATTAGCAAATTTTGTATTTCTGGATTTGCGTGTTTTTTATCTGATCACTTAAAAATAAACAGTAATTTATTCTTTATTATAGTATTGTGAGATATTTAGGATCCCTAGCAGAGTAGAATTTTCCGGTCTCATATTTTAAATTGTAATATAGAGTGAAAGAGAGTGGAGTTTTTGAATGATAAATGAAACAGGTATGTAGTTGACACTCTAAATTGTATAGAAACGCAAGAAAATCAAACATTTCATTCAAATTTTACAGAGAAATGAGAAGAATTAACAAGAAATAAAACTTGAAGTCAATACTCGATATTCGAAGTCGATCGGTTTAGAAATGTCAGAAAATCAGACTTCGTTCAAATTATCAGGAGATAAAAGCATAAAATGGCTCAACTTCCGTGACGTTTTTCTCGTGGGTATTTTCTCCAATGTATCAAATTAATGATGACTTTTGGCCAAAAATATATTCCCACATCGCCTAAGCTGATCAATAGCTATGAAGAGGTATAAGTTAGTAATAGAAGGTCATCATGACCTCTTCATTAAATATTAAGATTTAATATGACATAGCATATTATGTGAGATTACTAAATGTCTTTTTGATAACTAGATAGCTAATCCCCTTCAAAATAGGTTATCCGATATTTATTTTCGGATTAATAGGAGATTATTTTTGACAGGAAATTGTCAGAGAGGGAAATTTCATATTTACGTCATGTCATAAAAAGACATGTTTCGAAAATCTAGAAATCCTACCTATTTGAACTTAAAGGTGATATATACATTATAATCCCTGGATAAAAAAACTAGCATTTATAAATGCAAGAGAAAATCAGGCAGATAACCACTTTGATATGTATTGTCTTGTTTATTGTTATACCATACAGTAGTATTGTATTTGTATTGGTATTTGTAAACATATTTGAATTAGATTTATTCATTAAAATACTGTAAAAAAGATTGAATAATCCTGAGATAATATAAATCATTTGTTATTACTTAAATAGGGTTGATATGAGAAATAATTAAATATATTTTTAAAAAATATGTTTATTATGTGTGCTCTAATTTGTGTCTTAATATATTTTTACCAATTTTTGTGACCACCACATTGTGATTACATTTGACATTGTTTAATGTTATTGTCTCAAACTTTTTTGTGGATGGTGTTTGGTGGTTGGTGATTGGCATTCGGCCTTTGGTGGTCAGTGTTTGGCAGTTGTCATCTGCAACAACTGGGAGGTGGTGACATTTTGCATGTTGATGCCATGTTTCATTAGCCACTTCCATTCTTATACTTTCAGTATCCCCATTTTATCAAGAGAGACGGCAATAAACTACAAATTATGGTGCAGAGACGGAAGAAATACAAAAATCGTACAATTCTTGGCTATAAAACATTAGCCATTGGGCAGATAAATATGTCACAGGTATGTCATTACACACAATTTAGAATTGTACACCTGTCCAGAGGTTAATTGGCAAAATTGTATACCTCCATGGAGGATTAAGGTGTTTATAATGTCAAACATATATAAAGTGCAATGTATTCTAATATTAAGTTCAGAAATGTTCTTAAACAAGATTCAGAATTTGGCTTTTGATATAATCCTGAATTTCACCTCCAATGTAAAAATATCAATGGGGTGCCAAATGTGCCTCCTCTTACCAACAGTGCTTCTCCAAAACCCTAAAAAACACATTATTTGCTTTCGTACTCGCCTCTCTTCAGAGAACAGGGTCAAAATTAAAGACCAGTATTTTCTAAAAATATCATTGGGGTACAAAATGTGTCTCCACTAACCAACAGTGCTTCTCTAAAGCCCTAAAAACCACATTATCCACTTTTGTACTTGCCTCTCTTTTTCTGAGTAAAGGGGAGAACAGGGTCAAAATACAAGTCCAGTATTTTCCAAAACAACCAACCCTCTCGACACATATCAATTTATGTAATTTGGCACACTTGGAAAAAGATGTTCTGAAATCCCTCAGTCAAACATAAAATTTGATTCCGGATCTTGAGTTATTAATGTTATAATCTGCTGGCTCTCTGCCCAAGGCAGTTGAAGATGAAGTAGGAATCTATCAGATGGGACATTTTGGTAATAAATGAAGATAGGCTTACTGAACACTTGTGGTACAAGCTATTACCCTTGAAAATGTATGTGATTATTTACCCTCACCAAGAGCTTATTGCTGCTGATCCTCTTTAAATGAGAGATGATTCTTTGAAGATGGCTTATATTAATCAGAAATTGAATTCAAATTTTACAAATCTACATATTCCTCCTAGCTAGAAATCACTTATATTCGACATATAAAAGTTCATGAAAGCTCCATTAGAGATCATTGTGATCTCATCAGCGGTGAAACTTAAATCATCTGTAATCGTTAGAGGGCAGTATGTTTGTGACTAGGGTAGCAATTATTAAATCCATGAAACTTATCCAAATCTTGATTATGTAATATCTGATACACTTATATCTAATTTTATAGATTTAGCTCACTTCTAGATGGCTTTATTGAACATCTCATATTTGATTTAAACCTTGAAAATAAAGGCTTACGATAGAGCTCTATCAATATAACTAATATGAAATTTGGCATTCAAACCTCTAAATGTGAACACCAAATATACCATCCTTTATAGTGTTTACTGACATCAGATAAAGTTATATTTTTCCCAAAAAGTTGCGTCAAGCGTCAAAAGTTACAAATTATTTGACTATGACTTTTTGATTTGATGTCGTTATAATCTTTATGTTTTGTTTTTGTGACTTATGAATGTTTTACCAATGCTGAATTATAAAGCTACATAGTCTTACAGTATATTGATGTTTATTCTCTATAATAATTATCAATCCAGTGTACTTTCTAATTTTATACCAGCTGTGTCTATTTTCATGATTTTCTATTTTCAAGTGGGCTTGTAGTACTGTATATAATATCATATATAGCACTTACTTGCTTTAATGCTAGGCAGCTCATTGCAAAAATTATATTCTGCTGTTGGACTATCATTAATGAATGTACATAAGGTCAGATGAAAAAATAATTGTAAGTACAGTTTGCAAGGTGGGAAATTAAGAGCTTTTTCCTCGATTTCCTCAGAGTCAATATTTCATTCATTTATCTGTTCACTAAATATAGAATCTCATACAATGAAAAGAGGTTAATATCCCCCAAAGGAGTCGTTTCCACATGATATAATAAAAAGAGAAAATAGTAATTGCAAAATGATCACCCATTATTTTACATTGTCTAGTTTATCGGTTGCCTATGAATAGCAATCAACATGATAGAAAAGTAGGTTGCATGTTGTATGTTTCAGGTAAATCACATTTTTTAATGGACAGATAATTATGTTGTTTTCCCAATGACAATTATCGGCACATTCCAGAGTTCTGTTTTTCTGCATCACAGAAATACCAATTTGTGGAATTTGCTTTTCTGAGCAGAATTTGCAACTCTGTGGTTTTGCTTAATATTTAAACATATCTGAGCAAAGTTTCCTCAAATCCCAGCAGAATGCACAATTTTTCAGAATGCACAATTTTTATGAATGCACACTTTCAGAAGCAGCCCTTTGTTTTTTCCTTTGTTATGAATAATTTTTTGTAAAATTGTTGTCTAAAGCTTCTCAAATGCTTACCAGAAGTCTCCATCCAGATTATGACTCCCTCGAGCAAAATAACTTTTTGCAGAAAAATAACCTATTTGCCCCTTTAATTACCAATGTTTTTGAAAATCCTGTTTAATTTTTCCAGGTATTACAGCATTCAGTAGATCGAGTCCTAAGTCTCTATAGCGACCTGAAAGAACGCACCAATGTTGTTGCCCAAGTAACCATGCTTGCATTGTCTAGTCAGCCCGTCGATCATGTTGAAAATGGGCGCCATAAACTCCCCTCTGTGGGTGCAGGTAAGAAAAAAATAAGCCTTGGTGAAAATTTGTGTCTATGTTAAAATTTTTATTTAATTCATTTGTAATTAAACTTGAATTTATCCATTGCCAAATCTATTACAAAAATCTGGGCATTTGGGCAGGTATCAAATAAATCATGTCATCAAAATTCCAGGAAAACCACTTATCCATTCATCTTGAATTTTTTTCCTGATGCAAGAGCAGACTAGTGCCAAGATCTGGTTATGTTTTGGGCATGCTGGGTAAATAACATGGCAGCCATTTGCTCAATAAAGCGCGATATTTATCACTGTATCGTTTTACTGCAGATCGTTCCCCCGATATAGAGAATGACAGTGAAGATGAAGCAGTCGAAGACCCTGATGTTTATGTGGAGTATTCGTCCAATGATGACCTCAGCGATAGCCCTGCAGATGAGGAGACCAGAACCCGAATAAGGAAGGGTCAACGGTCACTTCCTTTTGGAAGATCGGGGGTAAGGATCTTCATAAAATGTGGGAATGTATTTGAAAATAATTCAGGACTCTCAGTGATTTCGCTAGCATTAAAACGTGAATTGCTTTGCCCCAATAAATCCAAATGCATCAAGATGGGCCTTTGTTGGGATCTTTTGGCCAGTTTCAAGCATTTTCGAATTGTAATGGTAAAAAGTTTACACTAAGTTGAAACAATTCCTACATAGAACAATGACACAATAAAAACCAGTGGTATTTTTGATATTAGGGAGATCCCTATGATATTTTTCAGAAAATTGTTTATCAGCCCCATATTTCCTCACTCAACTCATTCATAAAATGATATCACTCAAAATGGTCTGATATTCTATTATATGTATTTTATTGCAGAGGGGCAATTTAAAGCAGAAATTCATAGCATTACTAAGAAGATTCAGAGAAGCACCTGAAGAGGTGAGTTAATTTGGATTTTGGCTTTGCAATTTTTGATGGACTGTAGGGGTTTTATGAGAATCATAGCAAAATCAATCAAATCAAAAACAATTGTAAATTATTTATTTAACATGGATAGAGTTGAAATTCTCAGAAACGACAGGAAATTTTGGTAAAAATAATCAGAGAAAATCACCAATTGCCTGCTAATGAACTTTTCACACACATGTGAAATTTTCACACACGAATATCTTTGAAAGTTTCAAAGTTGGTGACTCTATTAAAAGTTCGTTCATTCCTTCACATTTATGGTGATATTTAGTGTATGATGGAATATTTTTAAGCACACTAAAGAAGTGGTAATAAATAGATATACATGTAAATTTTATATGTATATATACGAGTAATAGTCCTACATTTTCAAAAAAACATAAATTAAGATGAAGAATTTTTGATTAAGATTTTGTCTCAGATGCATCATCGGCATCATATTTTATACCAATGTTTTTTATTAATTTTATGAATAAAAGATGTTGAATTTTTCTGAACTTAGGACATGACTGACTCAGGCATGTCTGGACAAGAACTAGAAGACAATGTCAGTATTATGCAATATATAAACAATAGATTTGAACCTTTGAATTAAAATAGATGTGCTAATGTTGTTATTTTTCTGTTTACTCTTATATTGTTTATTTTTTGTCCATACAGAGCAATATACTCATAATGTAAACATTTTTTAATTTAAAGGACTTGGGAATATTTTGTGATACATCATTAGATTAGATCACGGGTACTGGCCAGACCTTAACAAAGCATTTTAGGCTCTTTATTCAACTGATCATACTACCAGGCTTGCTGATTTGGGCCATGTTTTATCAATGATATTGTCGAGCAATATCAGGGTATCACAGGGTCAGCTTCAAGTACCCATATAGATGGTATAATATAGTTTTAAAATTCTTGAAAGTTTCTCACCAAATGTTCCCTAGTCTTTTAAATAAAGAGGCATTTTCAGTTAGTTGGGACAATTTCGGTACCCCTTTAAATATTTTTTTACTTCGGGAGGTGCGGTTTAATATGCTTATTTACCTGTATACCGACCATTAGATTTTTACTCGTGTTAAAGGATTATAATATTTTGATGTTGATATTTAGCTAGATGGTGAAAGGTTTAGTGTTCTAGGAGTTCAAAATCTCCAATGTTACTGATTGGTACAAGAAATGTTGTCTTTTGGTACTTTGGCCTGCATTATGAAAATAATTGCACAATAAACTAATTGGCTCCCTTTAAAAGTTTTGTACTATTTTCAAAATAATGAATAGAAATGTGTTAACGTTAAAATATTTTTCCTCGATCTTGTGATTTTGTTTGATCACAATTTTCATATCATTTTAATTTTTGTATTGATTTTTTGGCCCACCCTGTATTTGTTACTTGTAAAAATAGAAGACAAAATTCAAACAACATTTAATGGATTACAGATCATAGATTCAGAACAGGACCAAGACCTTGCGGAAGAAGCCAGTCAACAAGACATAGATCAACTTCTCAACGAGTTAGAAGATATGAGTGATTCGGGTCCCGAACAGGAAGACAATGTCAGTATCCTATCAACTCCCAAGCCAAGTTTACGGCCATTTTTTCAAGGCCGCGCTATCTCCCATGTGGATATTCTTGACCTGCCTACTCGGGTATGTAGCGTTGAGGTAGGTCTGTCGCATGATGCATGTAAGTAAGTGACGGGGTTAAATGTCAGTGTCTTTTTACTTTTAAAAATCAATTTAACTGTTTGAGTCTCAGATGCCGCATACCACAGATTCAAATTCAGAGATTTGGTATAGAATCGAGAATCGATGAAATTACAATGTAAAATGACAATGTGATATTTGGCCCTGTCTTTAAGTAACAATGAAAAATTGATGTGGTCATGGTTTTGATTTTGAAATATGTGGTGCAGATAGAGAAAGAGAAAATCTGATCTTTCACAGGTTAACCTATTATAATCCTAGAAATCAAATCCCAAATCCTGCAAATTTTCCATGACAATATTGATATTTTCACATGGGAAAAAGTATTTTCTTATTTTTCATTAAAATCGTTCTGTTGCCATAGTCACAGTTTTGAAACAGTGGAATAAAAAATTTAAGTTTTACATTTGTTTAATAGTATATGTAATCTCACTGTCAGTTCTCAAAAGGGGCACATTAGTTTAACCAAGTATTTGGTCTTAACAATTTTGGAAAATAGGGTTGATTTATGAATAGGCTTTGTCTTGAAGATATTTTGTCTATGATTTTGTTTCCCAAAGAATTCTTCAACAGTTCTAAAGAAATCTTCAACAGTTCTAAAGAAATCTTCAACAGTTCTAAAGAAATCTTCAACAGTTCTTTAACAACTACATTTTATTCAGTTTTGAATTGCATTTCTACTTATGATCACGAAAACAAATTTGCTTATGTTTGTAAGCTTCAACTAGATTGTTTGTACGTAGCATGCTTTTATCATTTAATTTATCTAGCAACATGTAACTAAAAGCATGTCATGTGCTGTTTTGTTCTCAACTATGATAAAAATGTATTTTTTGAATAGGAAAAAGGAATGGAATGGAATCAATTAGGAATAAAGCAATCACAGTGATCTTCCCAGCATTAAAGCAAGTGGGCACAGCACCCAACTGAGATTTTGAAAATAGGCTTCAGCCACCTGAAGGTTCATTTGCACCCACTTGAAAATGAGAAAAATCATGAAAAATGGGCATATTTTGACCAATTTTGGTTTGAATTGTGAAAATGAGAATGTTGTAACCACTTGGGAAAAAATCCTGTAGAGATCACTGAATTATGTGGAAGGAGTAAACATTTTAAATTGTGAGGAAATTCCAGAAAATTGGGGAGTTCATTTAAATGAAAGAGAAATGGCTTGCAATAGCTATAACTTCAGGATTGTTTTATCATTGGTTATGTATAATGTACATGTGTGTATATGGTTGCATATAAGTTTGTGATAGTTATTATTTTGTATAGTGTTAATGTACTTTGAGTCAGTTGTCATGGAAACCTGTTCATTCATTTCTTGGCTTATGTTGCCCTATGTACCTTTGGTGTTCTTGTGTAACGCATACCAAAAACCATATCTCATTTTGATTGTTTAAGACTTTTTAGACAACCCTCAAATGTACATTTGTAGCTTTGTTAGATTTCTGTTCAGCTGGAAACCTTTGGCAAATGATTCTCTCGATAAACAAGTGATTTTACGATTTTTTAACTAAAGAATGAAAAACAATGAATGATAGTATTGGCATGAAAAATTGCTTATGTGTGAAATTAGCTAAAAATTTGGTGAATCAAATTGCAAATGAACAATTTTACCATACGTATCATTATGCACAATATGCACTTTTTTTACTGATTTTTGCAATTAATTTTTTTACATCGTAATTGATTGTTTCAGAAAACCAAATACAATTGGCTTTTATGAGTTTTTGAACACCATGTAATCATGATATTTTTAGAAACAATGGATAAATTGTATCTGAATTTGCACTTTTCCAGGAGTCTACAGGGAACAGTGATGATAGCTCCAGAAGAAATGATTCCGATACATATATGGACAATTTAACTGACCAAGAACAATCCTCTGACCCCCCTCAGCATACCACCCCACCCCAGACAGCAGACCCTGTCCAAGATAAACCTAAGTCACCCCCTCTGAAACCCAAGACAAAGACCTCCTTCAGTGGGAGAGAAAAGAAACGAAAGGACAACCTCAAGCCGAAAATGGAACGTCAAAATAGTTCAGATAGAGTAGAAATGGTAAGCACTGTTTTTTTTTAAATATTATGTTACCACCACAAACAATGTAAAATATTGTAATAGCTACCTTTTCCATTTTGTGACTAGTGTCAGCATTTGTAACAATTGTTACATTTGTTGTTACAAACAGGTGGTGACATGTCATCTTAATGCCTGATTACGACACAGTGATCTTCCCAGCATTAAAGCAAGTGGGCACAGCACCCACCTGAGATTTTAAAAACAGACTTGCACCTACCTGAAAATCCATTTGCACCCACTTGAAAACGTGAAAAATGGGCATATCATGACGAATTTTTTGTACCCACTTGAGAAAAAATCTTGTGGAGAACACTGCAACAATTAATAATAACCACAAAGGGCAACATTAAAAACCAAAAGAATTTTCCTCATCTTATTATTTTGTGTTGTATTTTGTTGAATATAATTATGATCAGGACACGCCTTAAGAGTCTGACTACCAGTCACGTTCAAAAGAATAATGACAGGTCAAGTTGGAAATTTAACCTGTTGGACATACTGACCGTTCCATGTTATCCAATTGAAAATATGACCCGGCAATGATATAAATGAATGAATAAAATCATGACATTTTATTTTTTTCAGCCTCGTAAGGTTCTTCTAGACCACCTATCAACAGTATTAGCCCCTTATGAATATCTACCAGATACGGTCATACTAGTCAACAGTAATGAGTTACATGGACAGGTAAATATGATTTACTTGCTTATTAGGTATAAAATGTGCTTGTATATTTCTGAAACACTGAATAGTGAATGCAACAATAAGTATTGTCACATAATAATTATTATTAATTGTATAAACGTATTTTGTTGCAAAGAGAGGGAAACTGGAAACCCTCAGTTACTTAACCAGAGGATATATATGATATTTAGCCCTCCCAGGGCATAATGTTTATATCTACCTCTTTTTTTCTTTTTACTAATTATAGAATATTTTATTCTAATCTTGTTCTAATCTTTTAAATGGTTATTAATTCGTTCCATTGTGCTAAAAAAGAATACATTTTCAGTGTCTTCACAAGTAGGTCACTTCGACCTTTATATATTTATCAAAAATCATTTTCTAAATGATTATAAGTTGAATAAATCATGAGCATTATTACAAAACTTCAATTCTTTTTCTGAGAACAATTCAACATGAAGATCATCCACATCCAAACTAAAAATAACTTTTCCATACAGTTGAAGATTTTGATTGACAGCTCTATATTTAGAACATGAAATTGATGTCCTGTGTTAAAACTCCAAGGTCAAGCTGATCTGGTCACTCTCTAAGGCAATTTAGAAACAGATTTTTCATAGAAATTGGTCAATTTCATCTTTATATTTCTCAGTTAAAACATATTTATAGAAAAATTGACCTTCCAAACCATTCTTGTCTATCTAATATCAGTTGAAGTAATAGGTTTAAATCATGATTATTTTTGTCTAAAAAGGGGATTTTGCAGTGTTTTGTAAGACTGTTTTGTCAAAGAATTTCTGAGCTTCACAGGTTCATGGTTCATTTGAATTTTTTAGGTGAAGGAATAATCAGTTTTACTAGATGATCATCATCTTGATCCTTGGTATAAATGACTAATTCTCTTGAGAACTGTGTCAAAAAATCATTTTTTCTACTTTGTTTTATGGCAAGTTGGTGAGTGTCTTGAGCTCATAAGATTTGATCAGCATCTATGGACAAACTCATTTTCTGACAATTTCAATTGAAGGCAGTGGATTTCAAAAAGATTTTTTTTGTGCGCAGTTACTGAAACAACTTGAGGATATATCTGGTATCCACCCTCCCATGACATAAAATTTGTATCTGCCTCCAGTTACTGAGCCAGAAACTCGAGGAAAAACAGCACAAGATTATATGCACCTGCTCAGATGCTGATGTCAAGGCAACCGTTAACACTATAGTCACCAGAATACAAAAATTGTAAGTGATTTTTTTATGTCACCATGACAACACCAAGAAGTTATAGTTACCAATTCTGTGAGTGACATTTGGTATTGGCATTTATTATTTGTAACAAATTGTCACACTTTTTTGTAATTGCAACCAGATGGTTACATTTTTTGAAATTTTTTGTAAAACTTCAAAAAAGTTTATAGATTTTCCACCTATTGAAATAAAGAGATTTAATTGTATTTTTTTCTTGATCTTTTTTTACCAGTTCAGATTTTTTATTGCAGTGCCTTAAATTCCATGTATCATTCAGTTATTCTTAGAATACATTTGGCCAGTTTGTCCCTAAAGACATGAATTATTAATACTGAGATTATTTCATCTGATCATTACACATTCTAATTGAGATGACAGTCTTTAGGGAAGATACTTATTCTAAATTATTCATTCTCGAATTAATAGTTAAAGGAATGCATATCAAAATATTGATTCTTTCCAAAGAATGTTTTTATTTAAGATTTTTTTCTTTAACCTCTTGAATACCCAGAGTGACGGATATATCCATCACAAATGAAATAAGACTGGTGCCCAGAGGGACGAGAAAATCTGTCACAAAATTTTTCACAAAAATTGCTCTCATTTGAACAATTTTCATCCAATTTACACAAAAATTGTTTTAAAACGTGTAGAAATGATCTCTGCCGTCCAATTTTACTAAGCTGAGCATCTAAAAGTGTATAGGTATGTAATAAAATGTCAAAAGGTGGCAAAAAATGAAAAATTCTCTGGTTTCATGCCAATTTTAGAGCCTGGGATTCAAGAGGTTAATAACAGAAAAATATCCACAAACAAATATGTACAAAAAGTAAAGAATCCTGATGGTGTCGTTTCATAGAATTTCTAGTAATTTTGGCAAAAAATAAAACAGGCTGATTTGTAAATTGCAAAATTCCTGTAGTTCTTGGTAAGAGTTCCAGAAAAAATTACCCGTTCCTAAAAATCCTACCAGTTGAAATAAACAAATGGAACATATGTACAATAATGTAGTTTTCTTGGCGACGCAATGCAGAACATCCACATGGCCAGTATGTTGCCAAACATTGACTTTATGCCATGTTTATATAATTATGCCAAAACAATGAATTCCAAGTATCTGCTAATGTTATTTGGTATTGATTTTTGATAGGAGTCAGACTGAATCATTGTATTCTATTTTGGTAAACGTATAAAAGGAATGCTTCAAAAGTTAAGTTTCAGTAGAGTTTCACCAGGGGAGGGGGGAAATGATTTTTTTTGAAAATTCAAGTTAAAAGTGAAATCAACATTTTTATAATATATGGGAGAGGGGCTAAATCATAATTAAATAAACATCAGTTTTCCAGTCAACATTTGGATAATCGCTCAAAGTCATTCTCATCTTATTTCTTATTTTTGTATGCATGTACTTCCTTTATGAAATAAAATAATGATGGATATATTTACTTTTCCAGTTGCAACAGTAATTCACAAGCGCCCCCTATGGTTCGAATAGGCATTATAGGTGGCGACGGCTACATTAGTTCAGTATTGAAGCCTTATGTTGAACAGTTTTCCGCTAAATCCCCCGACTGGCAAAGCTACATTAGGTTCTTAGTCATTCCCCTAGGTAAGTTAACCTTTGTGCCAAAAATCATTCATTTCTGTTTTAACTCTTATCAGTCTAGAGTGTTCACAAACTGGAATTTCATAACAATGACATATAGGTCACACACTATTATATACAAAATTAAACTAAAACTAGCTTAAACTAAATAACTACAAAATACAAAAAGTCAGTTATAAAAAACAGCATGACAAAATCTAAGAATATCAGGGTGATATATCATTGTGATATATCATTGTTGCAATAACAATCCTATTCTTTGAATGAATGATAAATGAACTGAACGAAAGACAGCATCCAGTGAGCTCCACAAGTCTTCATCCCCCTCCATCTCTGCTCTTCACTTATGTCCTTATATGGTCTTTTTAGGCAATAGTTCAATAGGGAAGTACCTTGGAGGTGTCGATTCGGCGTACCAGTCGATGTTTCTCGACCCATTTTGGCGAGACATCTTCGAAAATCAAGAAAGTCAAAAACCAGGTGAGGATAGTAAAGCATAAAATAAAAAAATAAACAAAAGAATTTAGTCTCAATTAGAAAAATTATTGGATAAATAAGATAATGTCAGTATTAAGATAAACACTATGATTCTGTCACTTATCGATGTGTTAGCAAGTATAAAAGAGAACTTCACATGGTCATATGGAATTTTCGCCTTTGCTTTTGCAAAAAAACAGAATTTTTATATTTATTCCTTTACAGACATGACAGATATAGTGAATCGAGTTACTCGTTACGTAAATGGTGCCTCAAATCTAGTGCAGCTCCCTCTAGCGGAGGCCATGATAACTTACAAGAACAAAAGGTGGGTATACCGAAGTCTTATGTTAGTGTGATACCATTACTTTAACAAATCAAAAATTCATGGTGTCCAATATGTTTACCATAAAAAGATATAAAGAGATCAATCAATAGAAATACATTTCATTGTATTCTTGATTTTTTAAAATGAAACGAAAGTTATTATTTTTAAATTTTTACTTCCAGCACTGATGAAGAGTCTTCCCAAGTCTTTTTACCATTTATCAATGTAAGTTTTGACAAAATTATTTTACCCGTTATTGTACAGTGAAACTTGTAAATTCAAACACTTCTCTATACCAAACGCCTCTAACACTTTTTCTCATTGCCTGTTATCTCCAATCAACCCACATTAAAACCTTAACATGTGAACATCTGCCAATCTGAACACTTTTGGCCAATCCCAGTGGTGTTTTAATTAGACAGGTTTAACTGTAATTTTATTAAAGCGATCAAATGGTGAATGAGAGAACATTTTATCCATAATATTTCTTGGAGTGATTAAGTAATTAAATGGGAATTTACATGCATAAATAAGCTGTTGTTGCTATTCCCATTGTATTCCATTTAGAAATATTTATTTCAAATTGACATTTACATAATTATTGTTTTGCAGGATGTGCGGGTTGGTCTAACAGATGCCTCAATAATACAATCAGGTATATATGTGAAGCTTTATGGGCTAGCATATAATGAAATAATTGTCCAAATCATAAGTTTTAAGTATAGAATTGAATTATTGAAGAAATGCAAGAATTGACAAATATATTGTTTACCAATTAATGTTTTATAGTATAGAATTTGAAAAATTTGAAAAAATGAAACAATTGACAAAAATAAATTATTTATTGATTATTGGTTATTTTAGAATTTAAAATTGAAGTAATCCACATTATATTTTCAGAATACGATGATGTTTTGCCTCAAAGTCCATCATTGAACACAGGTTTATCCAGTTCCCCACCGAGCAATTCTCCTAGTCAGCCCGTGGTTGAGAAATCACGGGACAATCAAAATAGACCCGTGACGAGTATTGAGAAATCACGGGACAATCAAACACCTCCTAATTCACCCAGTATTAGCCAGAGTAGCTCAGCACCAGTCGGGTGAGATTTTCATGAATTGTTTAGTATATGATCTATCGACTTGTAATGTGTGTCGAGGCAAATTTACTTTAATGTAAAATTAAATGAGCCACTAATTATATTGTGCGCTTAGCTGAGTATAAGGGAATACCTTAAACTTTTAGTTCAGATTGAAAAATCCAAAATGTGCAACTTTTTTCTTTATTACATGTTTTCCCAATTAATATATGAGCACAAATGTGTCTATAAAATTTTATTTAATTTTCTACTTATTTTTCAGCCCAAGTTCCAGCAACACATCCCAAGAGTTGCGTCTTGGACCAGAACTATTTATGGATCTCCAACTTGACTATTGGCTTGCCATAGTCACCAAAGATGTTAACGAAAAAGATAAAGTCAAACGAGAAACTACAAAATGCTCAATGAAAGCCGCTTTTAGGTATGTTTCCATATTTGGTAAATGGACTATCAGAGGTCATAGGTCAAGTGTGTCATAAATGATTGACAATATGAAATTGCAGGGTTGCCATTTGGTTTTTATTTGGCATGAAAAAGTTTGAATTTCAGAATTTCCATAAAAATGAAAAAAATAGAATTCTGAGTCAGGAAGTCAGGGAATTTGAAGAGCTACATGAAATGAGAAAAAAACAAAACGAAAACTATTCTGAAAAATCATATACGTATAGTCAGAAAACTTAAATCGTTCTTGCATTATTGTTGATAGTAACAATTATCATAATCGGATCTCTATCTGTTCATATGTCTTGTTGATATTTCAAAAAGTAGTTTGTTTTAGATTTAAAGGCTTGTGCATTTTGGCTGCTTGCTCGAATAAATGTAAAAAATGGCACCCTGTTGACTATGTTCAAAATGGCCACTCTTTTGTATTTGAAACTTTGGATTAAACAATGAATTCATCCCGAATTCTCCATTTCGGGTCATTGTTAGTGACACGTCTATACAATGAATTCATCTCGAATGATCCATTTCAGGTCATTGTTAGTGACGCGTCTATACAATGAATTCATCACGAATTCTCCATTTAAGGTCATTGTTAGTGACGCGTCTATACAATGAATTCATCACGAATTCATCCATTTAAGGTCATTGTTAGTGATGCGTCTATACAATGAATTCATCACGAATTCCATTTCAGGTCATTGTTAGTGACACGTCTATACAATGAATTCATCACGAATTCTCCATTTCAGGTCATTGTTAGTGACGCGTCTAGGCCAAACAGGAGATAACACACTCACAATGCAAGTGGTCACAAAAGAAAAGAAACAAAAAAGTAAGTTTTATAGATATATTTCGATGTCTTACCCCTTCACAATTTCACACAGTGGCCATGCATGAAGTTTTGTTCACTTTACAGTTCAAGCTCAATCAACAAAGAAATTAATATGGTTTTGTTCAGGGACATAAGTTCAAGGCCACATTTTGAACATTTTGTTATCAAGGCTCATTTAGCCATTAGAAGCTAAACAACTCTCGATGACACATTTTTCTTCACAATTTCTCGTTTACTGAAACAGATTCTTTTACGGGAAATTATTCCATGGATTGCCACTGTTCAAATCTACTATGACTGACATCGTATTTTAAGGCAGTTTCTACAATTCTGGTTTTTGAAATTATGTATTATAGACTATATGTGATTTATATAAGTTTTAATTTTAACTAGAAATTATTTATGTTGGGTTTAAAATGATTCTAGATGTGAAGGTTGATTCCTTTAAGGGGTCTTGTTAGTGTTAAATTATGTGTATTCAAATCAAGACCCTTTAACTGTCACTGTGTGTTTGATGATCATGTGTGTCAAATTGTCTCAAATCTCAAAGGGCCCATCTCAAAATATGAGCAGTGAGAATTCTAATCAGGCTCAGTTACTCAATAAAATTCACTGCTGATTACTTGAGATGGCCCCTAAAGATCAATTTTAGATCACATTTTTTCAAGTTTATTTTTTTATTCTCAGGTTTGGACTCTATAACCAAAGGTATCACACTTCTGTTCATGCATACATCTCTAGCCAGCTATTCTTTTCAGTTGGAATGGCATTATTTCTATATATGTATACTAGGTATAGATACAGGGTGACTCATAAGGGGTTCAGTACTTGTGGTTTAATTGAATTCATATTATTCAAAAATTAGAGGGGGAACATCTCAGTATGTTTTGAAATAATGTAATTTTTTGTTTTCATAACATATTTCTTTTTCACTAAAAATATGTACAGCTTTAAAATATGTATTAAAAGTATAGGGAAAACTCCTGCTCCACTTTGAAATAATCCTTGTCACTTTTACAGGTCTGCTTATGCTAAGTTATCAGCTTGTTTGCCATATAAGGCACTGAAAATCACTGAAAATTTTCCAAGGACCTAAACATATGAGTCACCCTGTACTAGACATCATTAGCTTTAGAAATAACTATTAAATACAGGGTGTCCACTTTGATCTATACAAAAGAGGCCATTCTGAATTTACTGGGTGACACCAGAGGATTTGATCAATTTTGATGCAACACTTGCATTCTTCTTGCTTTTGTTTGTTTTAGGTGCAATTTCAATCAATTTTTGTACAGCATATATTGAGCATTTCCTTCTTTTACATTAAAACACAATGATTTCTTGATTTTTTTTTTAATTCTCTGGTGTCACAAATTGCATGTCTTGGATATTTGGTATACTGTACTCCAGGTTAATTTTGACACAATAACATTTCGCGATTTTTCAAAATTGTAATTTCGCGGCTATTTAATTTTGCGTGTAGGATATCATTGTGGTCAACAACAGTCAACAAACTAACTTTATATGGAAAGATTGTTATCATTAAAACTTTAGCATTATCTCAACTAATGTACCTAGCAAAATGTCTTGAAACACCCAGTGACAATTTTATCAAACAAATAAATACAGAACTTTACAATTTTCTATGGGACGGAAAAAGAGACAAAATACAACGATCAACTTTAATTGGGCCTATTATGGAAGGTGGACTTTCGATGCCTGATCTAAAGTCTAAATTTAGCTCTTTTAAAATAAAATGGATCATTGACATATTTTACGGTAATGCATCTGACAACTGGAACTTGCTAGCAAGAGAAATTTTAAGTAAACTGGGATTAGGAAAAAATGATTTACTCATCTTCAGCTGTGCATATGGAACTACAAAAAATATAACTAACTTTAACATCCTTCCTAAATTCTACCAAGATATTCTAGATGCATGGGGCCTTATTGGAGGAGCATCCTCCAGAAACAATTCATTTGCTGACATTAGAAAGCAAGTTATTTGGAACAATTCAAATGTAATCTTCAAAAACAAAAGTCTATATTTAAAGAACTGGATAAATTCTGAGATTATTTACATAAATGACTTAATGGGATCCCAAAGACATGTGTTAAACAAACTCAATAATAAAATCAATTGGATGTCGGAATATAGTCAAATCAGACATGCAATACCCACATACTTTGCAGACAGGATGAACTCACAAGAGAGCAAGAAGACAAAAGTTTCAACACAACAGTCATTAAAAATTTATAATGTTACTTGTAACACATATCAGTGTCTGACTTAAAAAACTACTTCAAAAGACATTTATAGAATTCTAATTGACAAGATCAAATCAAAACCATTCATGGAAAAGGTATGGGTTGATTTATGTAAGCTTTAAGATTATACTGAACTTTTCAAGTGTGTATGGGTCTTCTGCAAAATCTGCAAATTGTAAATATAAATTGCTACATAACATTTTACCATGTAAGTTCTTACTTAAAAGATGGCAAATAAGTCAAACTGAAAACTGTGATTTATGTAACGTAGTTGAAAATTATAAACATTTATTCTTAGATTGTAAAAGAGTAAACAGAGTGCTAAAACAATTAGAAGAGTACATTTTTAATCATTTTAAAATCACAATAGTTTTAACAGATATTAAAACATTGATTTTTGGATATAAAATACGAAACATTGACTACAAACATTTTAATGAATGCCTTAATGAAATGTGGTATATCATATTTGTTAACTATTGTAAAGATACACATGAAATTAAAATGCATCATTTTAATGCAATTATGTAGATTTGCACTGTAAAACATATTTTGAATAGAAATAAAGATAGATTGAAAGATAAAAAAAAAACAGTTCTTGCCTAATAAGGCAATTCAAATGGTAGACATTTTAGGCCTTTTTGAATTATCGCCCAGTAACACTGGATGAAACGTTTTACACCGAACAAAACATATCAAAGTCCCATGTCAAATCCCCTGGGATTTAAAAGACAAATTTTGCGACGATAAATGTTCGCGATTTTACTACATTCGCGAACAAAGCGAAATTAAATCGCATGCGAACAATACCCGGAGTACAGCATTTATTGTAAAATAGAAACTTGACCCACTAAAGTATTGTAAAATAACACCTCCATAATCATGATGTTGTCATAGTAATTGCACTTGAATATTAAACAACTCCAGGAAATATCATAAGATGAAATCTTCAACCTCAACTGAGTCTTCAGCTTTAAATTAAGATTTGAGCTCAAATTGACTCTTAGAACACAATCTTTTACTTGAACTTCAAATTGAACATTGAATCTAACATTGATTTCTGTGCCATCAAATTCAATTTCAAAGTTTCACTCAAAATTTCATAAGATTATTTTTCAACAATTTTTCAAGTTTTAAAATTCACAAGATTATTAATTCAAAATGTAGATTACTCATAAGGTTACTCACTCTACTCAAAATGTGCAGGTTAATGCACAAAATAACTCATTCTACTCATAATGTGCAAGATTATGTACTCATTCTACTCTTCCTGCCCATTTTAGTCTGTCCGTGTTATGTAGCCCTGTATTCCCAAAGGGGTAGTATCCAAGGTAAAGACCCAATGATACCATGTGCCACACATCTTTTATATTGACATATCTTGGTATCAGGGCTTTAGCACAAAGTACAATGACCTTATGAGGGGCCATTATCTCTTGGATACTACCTCTGTTAATTGGTGCATCTTTGTGATTTTAGTAAATGTTTACCCTGTTGCTATGCAATAATTGTGTCTTCGTCAAATGGTGTAGTGACTGTTATTGTATATGTGTATGATTGAGAATGTTTTCAACAAAAATCCATTCTTTAAAATTTTGTGATTTTTCTGTGATTTACTTTATCAGAAATTTACTCTTCAATTTTAAACATGATTATTATTTATCTGCATTTGATTTCCACAAGTATCACTCTTTAAAATTATTGAATTATTTTCTGTTTTGATTTTTAAACATTTGATTTATCTAACACCATTTAATGTGAAACAATCATACCATTTTCTGCAGATTCTTCAGCATTGTTTTGTTATTGTATACCCTATATGTATTCTCTTGACATGCATGACCCCAGCCCTTTCTTTGTACATGTCCACCTTATTGCAACACTATAAATTGTATATGTTTTGTATTATATTGCATATGTTGAATTGTTTTGTCACCACTTGGTGGTGACATATTGTTATATTCTCCAATTTTTTTGTGGATGGAGTTGGTGGTTGGTGTTCGGCATTTTGGGGTTTGTGTTGGGTGGTTGGTGTCTGTAACAAATGGCAGGTGGTGACATTTTGCATGTTAATGCCTTGTATTGTATTGCACTGTGATTCTCTGTAAGGAAGCATCTGTTTGAATTTGTAGCAAATTCAGTCTTTCAAATTAAAGTAATATTCTTGGGTCTGGAAATAATCTCTATCTGATTGTATTCATGTAGTTAGAATTGTTTGATATAATTATAATGATAGATGTGTATGTACATTAAATATGTTGCACATTTAGTGTGTTGTTTGTAAGATATAATATACATATATTATTCTTTTGGGGATGGTTTTGTAATAATTATAATTTTCAGTACTATGTGAGATTACATACAATGTTGCGCAGGACTCCTATAGATGGCAGTTCAATAATTGTCACCCGTGGGTTGTTTCTTCAAATTCAATCGTTGTTTGCGTATAAATACACATGTCCTCAAACTTCAAATTCAAAATCAATCAAATTACTATAATATGTTCTCTTTATTATTGTTTACTGTCATGTTACTATCAATAGATTTTAGGTATTTTTAATTAATTTTATTTTGGTGATTTTTGATAGTATTTTCTATGTTGATATAATATACAGTACACTGAAACCAACTCAATTATCTGCCATTTATTGGCAGTCCTGACACGGGATACTAGAGTATCCGCGTATATTGAGTATGACCGGTTCTAAGCTTACGAGTGTGACCGTATTTCTGTTCCTATAAACAGACGAGGTGAGTACTTGCTTTTTTATGTCCCCACCACATAGTGTGGGGCCATATTGTCGGCCTAGGCGCGTCCGTCTGTCTGTCCGTCCGTCCGTCCGTCCGTCTGTCCGTACGTCCGGGAGTTTTCTCCAAAACCGCTACAGATATCACCTTCAAATTTTCAGGGATAACTTATGAGTGCATACAGATGTGGATGAAAAAATTTTAACTCGATACCTACTTCCTGTCGGCCATTTTGAAGTCAAATGCTAAAATCCTTGTCTGCAAACTTTAAGAAAAATGGCTTCACAGTTGCTTTTAAAACTTTAAAATCTTGTTCAGCTCACTTCATTCTAGATCTGATTAGGTTTTGGACCTGTTAGCTCAGTCATGTCAGCCATTTTGAATGTCTTAAGAAAAGTTAGCGCACGATTATACTTTGAATCATATTGAATGGTGTTTTTGAGTTTTCATACTTTAACTATTTAGTAGCTTTATAAATAATTTCAGATGTACTTTGTTGTAAAAGCCTATTTTATTGTTAACAGTAGTTATATGTGATAATTTTGTAAGAAGAAATCAGCAAAAACACATAATCACTTTTTTATTGTCGGCCATTTTGGATATTTCCGTCCTAAAATCTTTTCTGTGAAGTCTTGTCTACGTGTTTTCAGGTGAACCGTTTGGTGGATCAATTTCAAATTTTCAGGGATGATTCTTTTAGATCTGATTTGTTTTTTGGCATTCTGGGTGAATGACAAGGCAGCCATTTTGGATTTTCCGTCCTAAAATCTTGTCTGTAAAGTCTTGTCTACGCGTTTTCAGGTGAACCGTTTGGTAGATCAATTTCAAATTTTCAGAGATGATTCTTAGTATGAAAATGTAGAACTGATTAGTTTTTTGGCATTCTGGGTAAATGTCAAGGCAGCCATTTTGGATTTTCCGTCCTAAAATCTTGTCTGTAAAGTCTTGTCTATGCATTTCCAGGTGAACCGTTCTGTAGATCAATTTCAAATTTTTAGGGATGATTCTTAGTATGAAAATGTAGATCTGATTAGTTTTTTGGCATTCTGGATAAATGTCAAGGCAGCCATTTTGGATTTTCCGTCTTAAAATCTTGCATGTAAAGTCTTGTCTACGCGTTTTTAGGTGAACCGTTTGGTAGATCAATTTCAAATTTTCAGTGATGATTCTTAGTGTGAAAATCTACATTTTTATTAGTTTTTTGGCATTCTGTGTATATGTCATGGCAGCCATTTTGGATTTTCTGTCCTAAAATCTTGTCTGTAAAGTCTTGTCTATGCGTTTTCAGGTGAACCATTTGGTAGATCAATGTCATATTTTCAGGGATGATTCTTAGTATGAAAATCTAGGAACAGATTAGTTTTTTGACATTCTTGGTAAATGTCAAGGCAGCCATTTTGGATTTTCTATCCTAGAATCTTGTCTGTAAAGTCTCGTTTACATGTTTACATGTTTTATGACCTCAAATTATCACCCATTGGTGGGGACATTTTGTACACATTTGTGTTCTTGTATGAACACTTTCGAACGTTTTCTTTTTATCCTACTTGGTCAATGAATGATACTTGGTATACTTATAATGCCAGGCATATCACAAGGGGCCTTAATCAAGAGAAAACGTATTAATATTAGATTGAAGCCGTAAAATCCTAGTTTCCAGCATCTTTGATCAGTTTTTGTGTAACACAACGCAACTCCGAAGAGGATGACACATCTTATGTATAATATATAGCTAGATCTACGAATTAGTCATGAATATTTTAAATAATTTAGCCTGCTCTGTCCAAATATGATACATCTTTGAATTTTTGAGAATATGAATGTCACTGGTGCTCCATTATTGGAGAATACGGTTGTGAAATGTCTTGGATGCCGTGTTACACTCGTTTCCATGACATTTCACAAGCGTATCCTCTGGGAAAAGATAAATCCTTCTCTTGCTCACTCTACGGGGGTTCATATAAACTGAGATTTGGAGATCTTGTTCAGGTTAGCCATAAAAAGGTTTGGGATTTGTTTTTTTCTACTGTGTTATTAATGATTTGGCTCTAAGGCGATAAATCTGTACTTTCTGATTGATATTCCATTATGCACAGTTACATTGCTAAAATAGCTCATGTTTAACATTTTTTTGTTACATTACTATTAAATACAGCATAAACTATATTCAACAAACACAATTTCAAAAAGGATAATATAGAAGTTAACCTTTATTTTCCATTTTTAAGCAGCTGTGCCTCTCATGACTTTCCAAAACAGGTCATATTCGTAGCCTAAGAACCGGTCATACTCAATATACGCGAATACTCTAGTTACCCGTGCCTGAGCCTGTTAATTTATGTATTAATATATTTAAATGCATTAGTCATACAAGGATAGCTAATAAATGTTAATACATTTCACACTTTGCACTCAGTTAAAATCGTCTAAAATTGATGATACTCTTGTCTTTGTGAGGTTGTGGGGTTGTTCTTTAAATGCAAATATTATACATGTACACTGAATTAAACTGAGGTGTATTTCCAAATGTTGCATGTTTCTTTTTATTGCCCATTACAGACGTTTGAAACTGTGCCATTGTTAAATTAGTTCCCTGACAAAAAAACATTGCTATTTAGTCCACCAATTTTGTTGATTATTAAAGTTTCCAATTTGGGTAGCCAAAAGTTGGTAGAAATATAGCACTACATGTTTCTTGTTAGATAATTAAAAATAGTCTTGATTTTAGGAGACATTTGTATTAGTTTATTTTTAGACTTTTGTTCAAGTAATAACAAGGAATGAATGATTGCAACCTCTTCCCTTCAACCCCCTATCAATTTTGTAATTAAGCTGGAGGGAACATAAAATATTCTATAAGTAGACACTTCTAAAAATTAGTATTGTTCTGTTGTCTTTAAGGCCCTTAAAATGAATTTCAGTCAGTTTGTTAAAGCCATATTCCCATGCTAAATTCCTGAATCATAGTCCTAGTTTGTTAAAGCCACTTTCTCATATTGCATTCCATATTTTTCAGTTATGAGAATAGGAAAGAAATCTAAAGAGACGGAGTCAAAGTGCCAATCAGTAGATGGAATCAACAGATTGATATGTACCTCTAAGAGTCAGAGTAACCCCATGACAGGTTAGTAGTAAAATTACCTGAGCAAGTTACTTAGAAAAAAGAGTAACCAATGACAGGTTAGTAGTAAAATTATCTGAGCAAGTTACTTTAAAAAAGGGTAATCCCATCACAGGTTAGTAGTAAAATTAGCTCAGTGTAAGTTGCTCTTAAAAACAGGTGAAATGGTATTTAATCTCAAGACAGGCTATGAGCAAGTTATTTTATTTTAACATTTAGAGTTTTGAATTAAAAGCAAGTAGCTTATTAAACACTGGTCCATGGAATGAATTTCACAATTTGCATCAAAATCTCTTTTTTAAAACCCTTATTATATATCCCTTGCAATCAATTAAAATTTAATATCTTTTTAAACACTTTATTCATTTCTTCGAAGAAATCAGTTATTTTACTGAAACTTTTGACCTGCATCCTCAAGTCATTTTCAAGATTGAATTTTAAAAAGTACTAACAGCATACATATATGTGACTTCATTAAACAATGGACGATAGAACAATTTCAATTTCTGAAAGCCACTAATTTGACTAAACATTAGCATTTTTATGTCATGTAAGAATATATTATATTTTTTTTTTTCAGTTATGATAGACGGAAATGAATGGACAGGTGTCAAGTTTTTCCAGTTATCGTCTCAATGGCAGACTCACATAAAATACTTTCCTGTATCAGTATTTGGTCACATAGATACACCAATGTGACATATTGAGACTTCAATGTGACAGGTGAGATGCGACAAGTGGATACATCAGTTGTGACACTGAGTCATCACTGTGACAGTTGGAAACATCAATGTGACATGCAGAGACATTGATATGACGCGCATATGTCAATGTGACACATAGAGATATCAATGTGACAAGGAAATGCTAATGTTGCCTTGTCGTCAAATAACAGCGGATCACTGGAGTTCCAACTTACTTTCTCAGATGCCCAAAAGATGGCAGTACTCATGAGAAATTATGGGATAGCTCCAATGAATTATGGGATATTTCCCAAAGCATTATGGAATAGCTTTTTAGAATCTTTGAGTTTAAGAGAAAAATGGAGTGAGCGAGTTGGATGATATGGGATGGGGTTTTGAGAGACGCTTTTGATAGGTCTGAAAACAAAAATGTTGTCTCTGAGAAAGCTTAAATTTGAGAACATAAAGAGCTCATTAAGAACAATGAAAAGCTCATTGAGAACTAGAACATAGCTCATTGAAGTTCTTTGCCGAAATGAGAGAGCTTATTGATAAAGAAGAAACAGACTTCTGATGATGTATAAAACTTTGTCAGTGTATGTTGAATGCCAAAAGGTGTCATGTAATGTTGAATAGAGTAACTATTGTGTAATATTGTGTAGAGAATCTTAACAGAATCTTTCCCACAAAGTATCTGGCTGGTTTTAGATATATATTTTCAGTTGCATTTACGAGAAGCAGTCGTACACATTGAATGTTTTACAAGTGTAATATTTGTTTTTTATCTGATATGTATGGATTATGGATTAATTTTTCAGCTCACATCAATTCGCAATATTAACTTATCTAACGTGGAATATTTTTTCTATATAATAGAAGTATGATTTTAAAGATGATTATTTAAAAAGATTACGCTTTAAATAATTTGGCAATTAAGAATGCTCCCTTTACCAAAAATTAAACAACATTTTTTAGCAATGCAATCATTGTGTTTAAGTTTTGAAAAACATGGTGCTAAAACTACTAGTGGATTGTGTACAACAATTAGCAAATTAGCAAATAGTTCACACTTTATAGCTGTAACTTTTTTATCAATAGTTATTGAACACCCTGTACGAGGCAATCATTAAAATGCAATAGATTTTTGAGATTTTTTATTCAGTCGCATTATTCAATACATATCAGTGTATGTATTGAATGCTTCTTATTAAAATCTCTTTTTGGTATTCCCTACTCTACATTTTCTGCGTACAGTAGAGCTAGTCTTAGTAAACACCTCTCTTTAGTGAACACCTGTCTCTAAAGGACACTCTTACTCCACATATAGTCTACTGACTTCTGTATAAATTATATACCAACACTGAATTTTTTTCTTTGCAAAAAATGTTTAATACACACAGGATTTACTGTATTATAATTGTGATCATGCAAATTACACGGAAACACTTATCATGTGGATCTACCGAAATGTAATCTTACAACACATAAATCAGCTTAAAACAAATCCTAAGCATAAGCAGATTTATTATGGGACAGCATCTTTTCCATTCAATCGAGGTTGGGCCATGCAGCCGAAGGTAGTCATGCAACCGAATTTTGCCGATCCAATCTGACGTAGAATGCCGAGCCTCTCTTTTTGACCAATTGGAGACATCCTCTTCACATTCGTTGTTCCCTCGGGCAACTTTGTTTGCAAATAAAATCTTTGGCAGTCTCCAGCTTTTCTTGAGGTATCTTCGGTTGCGAGCCAAAAGTCGACACCCGATTCATTATTGACACCTTTACTAGCATTTAGTTTGTATTCTTTCCACTCTAATCACAGTTATATTGCTTGAAACATGCCAGATCAGCCATTATTTAAAAGAAAAGACAAATTGAAATTAAAGACTTTCCTTTGCAAAGTATATTATGATACTACAGAATGTCAAATATGTTGCAATAATTTAATTGTTAATGCTTACAAAAAATAACTTACATTTATTTGATCAACTATTTTTGTACAACTTCTCTGATATTATTAAGTGCAAAATTCACAAGTGGAGGCATAGACATTCATAATACACATGCACTAGTGATAATTATGTCAAAGTGCACAAGCACTCATGATAATTATGTCCAAGTGCACAAGCACTCATGATAATTATGTCCAAGTGCACATGTAATCATGATAATTATGTCCAAGTGCACAGATATTCATGATAATTATATCCAAGTGCACAAACACTCATAATAATTATGTCCAAGTGCACAGGTACTCATGATAATTATGTTCAAGTGCATAAGCACTCATGATAATTATGTCCAAGGCACAGGTACTCATGATAATTATGTCCAAGTCCACAGGCAGTCATTATAATGATGTTCCAGTGCACAAGCACTCATGATTATTATGTCCAAAGTGCACAGGCTTTCATGATTATTATCCCATCGAACGAAGTTCGGAGGGATATAGGGAACGCCTCCGTCCGTCCGTACGTACGTACGTCCGTACGTACGTCCGTCCGTCTGTCCGTCCGGGCAATAACTCAAATACCGTTGGCCCGATTTTGTTCATATTTCGTACACATATACCCTATGGGGGTAGAAGTTCTGCTCGAAAGCCGATTTTCAAAATGGCCACTCATTTCAAAATGGTGGCCATTTTAGTGACGATTTTACAGTAATTTAGGTGCAATATGTAAAACTGTAATAGCAATATGTTTTAAATGTAAAAAAATTATAAAGGACATTAATAATGCTACAAATGTAGATATTAAAAAGCACATGGCAGCCATCTTGAAAAATGGCGGCCTTTACTTGTCATTTTACGATTTTTGCTGTAACTCAAAAAATAGTGGATATTGTTCATATTTGGTGTGTGAATACTATAAGCATTGCACACTGTCTAAATACACTTTTGGTAGAAGGCAGCCATTTTGAAGGTGGCCATTTTGAAAAATGGCCGCCATTTTAACGTATTTTACTATAACTCGAAAAGTAGTGGAGCGATTTTGTTCATATTTGGTATGTGAATACTATAAGCATGGCACACTGTCCTATGACACTTTTGGTAGAAGGCGGCCATTTTGAAAACAATTTTGAAAAATGGCCGCCATTTTAATGTATTTTACTATAACTCGAAAAGTAGTCGAGCGATTTTGTTCATATTTGGTATGTGAATACTATAAGCATGGCACACTGTCCTATGACACTTTTGGTAGAAGGCAGCCATTTTGAAAACAATTTTGAAAAATGGCCGCCATTTTAACGTATTTTACTAATACTCGAAAAGTAGTGGAGCGATTTTGTTCATATTTGGTATGTGAATACTATAAGCATGGAACACCGTCTATTTCTAATGACGCTTTTGGTAGAAGGTGGCCATTTTGAAAAATGTCCGCCATTTTAACGTATTTTACTATAACTCGAAAAGCAGTGGAGCGATTTTGTTCATATTTGATATGTGAATACTTTAAGCATGGCACATTGTCTAATAAAACTTTGGGGAGTAGTCGGCCATTTTGAAAAATGGCCACCATTTTTACGTGTGTTATTTTACAAGTACTTGTGCGATTTTTCAAAAAATTTTAGAGGTGGCTACTTAAAAGCATATTATTTCTTCTGATGACAACTTGGCTAGTGAGCAACCATTTTGAAAATGGTGGCCTTTCTGGTGTGTTGTTTTATGATATTTGCGCTTCGTTTGTAAAAATGCCAGCCATTTCTGTTCGATGGGATTCGGTACGCTTTGGCGTTGCCGTTGTTCTGGTTATTTTCAAGTGCGCTTGGTACCAATAGAACTAGAATATTGTCTCGTATAATTATTAATATTATTCTTTGTTATTACTATTATTATATATTTTATGATTTTTATAACATGTCACCTTCAAAGAGTAACCAAAAATTTGAAAATAAAGTTAAACTATTATTAATGTAGATTAAATATAATAAATAGGTGACTAATTTAATTTATGATTGTTAATAGACTCACTGTGTTAATTATGCATTTGATGTATATTGTATAGCTATTAATATTTGTGTAAATAATACAATTATTGTATATATAGGGAATTATCTACAATGGATTTCTGTAGGATATAGCACAGAGCTAATATCCATATACATGTACATTATAATGAATATGTTTTTAATATGAAACGGATTCAGGGAACAGAAATGGGTAGAGTACTTATGTTCGAAAAGGAGGTAGGTGTAGTTTTATTAGGTAGTCTGTAAACGTTTTGTAGTTTTAGCTCGCCTGCCAATATGCTCATTATGTTCTCAGTACACTGGCGGATCCAGGTGGGGGGGGAGAATTTCCTACCCCCCCTCCCTCTTGGGTGGGCTCAGGAATTATTTTGTAGGGCCTCAATAAGTGGGCCTTTTTGGGCATTATTTTATACATGTCATGATATAGGGAGAAAATCAATAAACTCAATGCCTGTGTTAAACTTGCTAACTGTATATTGAATGCTCTTACTATGCTAGAATATTTTCTGTCCCTATATCTTGACACTGTTACATTATTTGGCCTTTTTTGGGACATTATTTTAGGATTTGAAATTTCTCCCCTCACCTTGTTAGCTTCTGGATCAGCCAGTGTCAGTACATTGGGAAAACAGTCAGGTGTTATAAATTGACAGCTATCCATCAGGTTTTCTAGAATATGGGGTTAACCAAAAAATATTTTGAGTTTGAACAAAAATTCTAGTGTTAAACCCACATTCTTGAAAAACTAATGTTTTTTGGTGTCAGTTTGTAACAATTGACTGTTTCCCCTATGTATTAGGAGGATTGGATGAGTGTATTAACAGATGGGGATGTACAACCATTCACAGTCAACCAAATACAACTACACCTTCCTAGTTTTTATCACACCATCGGTGGGATATAGTCGTCATACTGGTCGTGATCGTGGTCGTGATCGTGGTCGTGGTCATGATTGTGATCGTGATCGTCCCGCTTTTTGTCATCGCCGTTTAAGGAAAACTGCTCATCAGATTTTCTCCAAATTCGCAGAGATGATAGAGCATATGAAGTACTAGAGCTGATTAACTTTTGGGTGGCCATCTTGTTTTCTGGCGGCCATTTTGAAGGTTTTTCGAAAAATCTTGTCATGGCCATTTCAGGAAAACCGCTCATCGGATTTCCTTCAAATTTACACAAATGATAGAGGATATCAAGTACTAGAGCTGATTAACTTTTGGGCGGCCATCTTGTTTTCTGGCAGCCATTTTGAAGATTTTTCGAAAAATCTTGTCATCGCCATTTCAGAAAATCCGCTCATTGGATTTCCTTCAAATTTACACAAATGATAGAGGATATCAAGTAGTAGAGCTGATTAACTTTTGGGCGGCCATCTTGTTTTCTGGTAGCCATTTTGAAGGGTTTTCGAAAAATCTTGTCATCGCCATTTCAGGAAAACCGCTCATCGGATTTCCTTCAAATTTACACAAATGATAGAGGATATCAAGTACTAGAGCTGATTAACTTTTGGGCGGCCATCTTGTTTTCTGGCAGCCTTTTTGAAGATTTTTTCGAAAAATCTTGTCATCGCCATTTCAGAAAATCCGCTCATCGGATTTCCTTCAAATTTACACACATGATAGAGGATATCTAGTACTAGAGCTGATTAACTTTTGGGCGGCCATCTTGTTTTCTGGTGGCCATTTTGAAGGTTTTTCGAAAAATCTTGTCATCGCCATTTCAGGAAAAGCGCTCATCGGATTTCCTTCAAATTTACACAAATGATAGAGGATATCAAGTACTAGAGCTGATTAACTTTTGGGCGGCCATCTTGTTTTCTTGTTCTTGAAATTTGTTAACATAATAGGAGAACAGTTTTCCTGGTTCATAGTGTCTGCCTATTTGATGGTGTGATCTCGTTCACGTCCTGTGCCTTGTTTTAATAAAATGGAGGATTTGTAATTCCTGTTGTTC